TTTAATTATTAACATAAGCCTAGATTTCACTCATTAGTCCATTACGCTAAGAGCTTTAACTCATTACAGTCACGTAAGATGACATTAACCAAAGTGGGTAGGAACTCAGGAACAAAAACGACTATTTTTCAAATATTGCTAATCTTGCGATTTTAAAAATTTATTTTTAGTTATTTATCTTAAACTTTTACTCATCTTTCAACTATTTATAATTCAAATGACGGGAATGGATTCTGGAACACATGAAAACGTGCGCAGCGATCTTTTCCCCCCTACGTCACTATTTACTGTTTTTTGAATGAATAAATCTAAATAAAGAAAGGAGAAATGTATGCCTCAACTTAGGAAATTTAAAAGTCAAATATTCAAATATAAGAAGATGTTGGGCATTACACGAGTGTAATTGCAGTGCCTTGTGCAACCCATCATTACTGGTGAATGATGATGATGATAATAATAATATTAAATACCAACACTATTAAATAATAATAATTATTCTATAATTTATTATTAATACGGTAAATAAGATAGAAACCATTAAACATATATCAGCTTTTTCAGCCCTATCAAAGTTCCAATGCAAGGAAAGGTACGAGAGTAATTACTGAGAGAATTGAAACGTCCAATGAAATGAACTGAAACGAATCAAGTGGTGTGAACATTCACCAAAGCCTGTCTCTTCTGATGAACTGTACGCAAAACTGGATGATGAACAAAATAAAATTTATCGTAGGACAGAAGCAAATAAAAAGCATTTCGATGTACGGCAGTTGAAAAAATGTGTCTAATTATTCTAGTAGATGAAGTTATGGCATAGAAACAGAACATAAAGCAGAGAAACAACTAAAATATAGTTTGTGAATCGAGATCAGCCAAATGAGCGATGTAAGAGCACAGGTAGTACCAATAACTTTCTGAGGCCTAGGATTTACCTTGAAAATTGTTAAAAATGTCCGTTGGCACACACCCCCCCCTAGCGCACGCCATTGGTCGCCGCCGAGCGCTGTACGCAGTGATGATCTCGACATTAATTGTCAGTTATTTTAAACAGTTTTTTCTTGTTGTTTTTTACAATAGTAGTATTTTAATACAATATTTATGGTTTTAAAATCAATACCAAATCATTATAATGGAATTAAAAGCATAAAAAATGTGGCGAGAGCTGTCTGAATACTTTTTTTAGTTCTCAAGGGTGATTAAATATGTTTCTTTACAACGAGAAGAAATAGAGATATTATGGTTTTGATATAATATTAGCTCCATTTTATACATCAAATTGTGATTTTTCAATTTTTCTTGTAACAAAAGGCACCTGTAATAATTAAATTTATTTTCGATTGTGATTGTTGTATCCTACATAAAAGAAAAACTCGAAACTTAAAAATAACATTTATCATTCGTGCCCTTGCCTAAATCACAACTACATTCACCACGACAACGCGGGAGACACGGAAGTACTTCAATTTTCTTCATACTGTTAAGCAATACTGTCGACAACATACGGCTTTTCGTCTGAAGAGGTATAGAGAAATGAATGATCAACATTCTGTAAACAGAACACGTCTAATAACTGTTACGCGCACGCCATGCTTTATTTGCTCTCATCCTCTCTCACAATTTTAACTTCAAGCAATACCAATATGATTCGTGACTTTGCGAAACAGTCAGTATGGAATTGCATCTTAAAGAGCATGTCGTATACCGCAATTTTGCCTCAGTCACGCTACAGTGCACCTAGCAGTAGCACCTTGAGTGGTTTTGAGGATAAAGCAGTTCAGGTATCCTATGTACTCCAAAACTGTGATACTATTTATCGCTTGCTAGTAGGTTAGCAAAAACATTTCTTCCAGAGACACGACTGGGATTATGACTTTTTATAAATATCAGAAATCGGAGCAAAAAACTCGAAGAGTGACATGAAGAAAAGTTATGTTTCAGTAACAACCAACAGAGGGAGTATTTACCTGTTTAGATCGGTGCTGGTAGGAAAAAACACTAAAAATGCAAATCAGGAATGACTCTCTAGCGAGGGCAGTCTACTGAGAGCGACGCTCTTTTTCATGCAGCACTAGCAAGAAGAAGAACGGCTCGCTGCCAACTAAACGTTTAGATGCTTGCGATACATCGATGTCGTGCAGTTGATATTTTGTGTAACATATTTTGAAAATATTTTGTATAGCTTCAAGGAAGCTAGACTGATTTTCAAGAGTCTATTGTTATTAAATATTTTAATAGAAACAAATAAAATCAAAGGTAAGCCAGGTTCTCACCTGTCGACTAACAGTGGGTAAAAAACGTCCAAACTCTCAGGTAACTCAAAACACTGGAATGTGCAAGACAATCGCGATAGTAGTAATAGTTTATATATTTTGTGAAGTATTGCAGACTTGTCGAGAGACAGTAGATCTGCTCCTAGGAATCTGGTTGCAACCTGGAGGAGATATTATATTTAATCGACAACTAACATCTATCGTTATGAATTTTGATAATAATAATAATAATAATAATAATAATAATAATAATAATAATAACAATAATTTCCTCAAAATTATCACGAATGTTCCCCAAAAACGGAACGTCAATGTTATAACCATGAGGCAAAGCATACTTTGTTTTGGAGACAATCTGCTTCAAGCTGTGACAAATGTGGCTTGTTTGTCTCAAAAACAAAGAATACCGCTCATCGAGATCATAACGTAGGCAATCATCGCTATTGAGACAATTCATACTAATTTTGAGTACAGTGTTTAGCCAATATTTTCCACTTCCATTGACCACGTCTTCTAGACAAGCGCGTCGTTTGGCCGCTGCGTCAGCCAACCTGCGGCGGAGCGCGGAGGCAGCTGCGTGGCGAGCCGAGTGGCGAGCGCTGCCTAACGAGCGGCGGCGGCGGGCGCAATGCGCGGTGACGCAGAGCGGGGGCGGGGCGGGGCGGGCCGGAGGCGTTGCGTTGGCGGGGGAGGGCGGGGGTGGGGCGGGGGTGGAGGGCGGGGGCGGGGTGCGCGGGGCGTGTGGGGGGCGGGGCGGAGCTGGTGGCGGGCGGGAGCGAGGCGGGGCGGGGACGGGGCGGGGCGGGGCAGGCGGGGGCGGGAGGGCGCGGGCGGGGCGGGCGGGCGGGGCGGGGCGGGGCGGGGGGGCGTGGCGGGCGGAGGGCCCGGGTGGGCGGCTTTGATAGGCGGCGCTGCCTCGCGCCCAATTACCGCAGTGCTGCCCGAGACGGCATGTCAATTTCCGAGGCGCCTTCGTCAACCTGCCCCGTTTTCGCGGCGCGTAGCGCCTCACCCCACGAACCGCAAGCCACGCACCTCGTTTGTTTTTTACTGCATTTACTCCACGCACAAGTTGCGTTTTGCAAGAGGGTTCGGTTTCAACTAAGAATTCTTTTAAATCAATAGTTACGTTACTGATCGTGGAAAAAAATTACGGAGCCACAAAGTGTGTTCAGGGTATTCCAGATCAAAATCCTCCTTTCGTCATAAATAGTTTTAACGAAAGAGTGGTTATTCATGATAAATATTTCATTTAGTTATGTTGGGTTCAGTATACGATAATTGTTTTGAAAAAATAACTAAAATTACAAAAATATCTGTCCTAACCTCTGAATCATTCACTTTTGGGAAAGTGATGGAAGAGTTTACGTAGCCGACGTGAAACGCGCTGTTTATCTCGTATATTTTCATTCAAAAACACACAGAGCATCCCGAATATTGACTACCAATGACGTATAGGTACAATATTCAAAACAACGGAGTAGTTGACATGAATATTAATTAAAACAAATACCAATTGACATGCAATTTAATTTTCGACGTTCATTCGATCGCAGCAAGTATATGTAAATATACATTAGTTGCTAGATACAAGTATTAAAATGGCTAGTAACAAAAATTGCATTGCCATTGTAAATATTAATATATTAATGACAACGTTTTGTTACAAAAAGTATGAATTACGTTATGCTCATTATTAATATGAAAATTGGTGCAAGATACCCCTGGTGAATTGGTATCAATATTCAAAATTCCTCGAACTTGGCATAAAAATGTATCGCGTTATCCGACTACAGTGCGGCCCTCATCGGACAGGGACCAGTGACGTAAGCTAGAGGGTGAGAAACGATGAACAAGTTCATGTTTCAGGGAAAATGTCACCAGTTTCCATTGCGAGCAGGAGGGAAATTGAAGCCACGAAATCTCACTGATTACGTCGGATCGTGCCCTTCCAAACACTAAAGCTTGACGTGTGGCCTACTAATCAGGGTAAAATGTCACTTGTGTAACTCATCACACTTTATGTGGCAAACATCGATTTTCTTGTATTGCTCTTCATGTTCTAGGCGTTGGTAACATTTATTCTGAGACATCTGTAGTGTTAAAAAGAATTTTAAGGCATTTTCCTGTTTGAAACACTTTAGTTTCTTCTGCTGCGGTAATCATTGAGTTCGTTTTCTAATATTCTGAATTAAAGACTGGAGACCAAAACAATATTTATCGTTTCATCTGTAAACAGTTCACAAGGTGTCTATCATCACTGCCACAAATCAGAATGTTGTAAATATTGATATCAAATGTATGTTGACACAATATTAGATATTACATATTTTAATTGCACAGTGTATTCTCTTATTGTGGGTAATACCACTACTGAATCATTGTACAATTCCATTTGCAAGTTATCATTTATTGCCCTGTTTACGCTTGTTTCTCGTGTGAATCCAAAAAATATACGATTGTAAATACTTACGTCTTTTGAATTCTGTAACGTTTGTACGCAAGCTTCTTTCCTTTCATTGTTGGTTACATCATCGGTATATTATCGTTGAATATGCAATGGTGCTATTTGTTCGAACGACAGTGAAGCAGTGCAGAGAAGAAAAAAGAAACCCAACCCGTTCGGTAAAGGTGACATTACTTCAACTTAATCGAAGAAAGAAATGTTCTTACCGAAGACGAAAATTAAGAGGAAGAATGGTCAAATTACCAAAAGAAGAGGTTTTCAGAATGGCTGCAATTACCTCACTACGATTAGGTAAAGTATGAACGGGGTTACTTAAAGACAGTTAAAAGAAAGCTAAATATCAGGTGAAGGCACAGCATTAGGGGAAAATTGAATACGATACAGGAGAATTGAGTCTTATATAGCATTGAAAGAAAAGATAAAACATCCCAACAACAACAACAACAACAACAACAACAACAACAACAAAAAAGCGTAAAGCCTTCGATTTTTAAAGTGTTTGCCAGGAGAAAAAAATAAAATTGAATAAAAAGTATTCAATTTATTCAAGAGCAGCATGGATTGACAGTATCTTAATTTAATAAATATTTCATAGGATCATTCTTAGAAACCAAGAAAATTAACTTTTTGAACACATAGCTTTAATTGATTTGATCGGAGGAAGGAAGGAAAAGAAATGTGAGCTATTGAAACCGTTCACGTATTCACATTTGTGAAATACTTCGCTGTCCATTCAAATCAGGATAAAATCTGATTTGCCCAATGTTTGACACCGCCAGTGTAGTAATGAAAATATCAGCATAGTAAGTTCGATATCTCATTCACCGTGAACGAACCGCTTGAACGATTCACAAGAGTTTATCAGCATATTTTATCAGAGGCAGCTTGATCAGGGCGCTTTCGTTAACAGAGGAGACGGAAAATCTGGAATCTGTTTCAATCTGTTATAAAATCAAAAAGTCTCTAAATAATTATTCTATCAACAGAATTGCCTCTTGTGATAAATTATTCGTGGAATTTTGAAAAGAAAATGTGTGGAATTATTGTGAAAGATGTAAGCACGTGGAATGCATAATTTTCATACTTTTATTCCCTTTCACGGTATTTTTTTGTTGTTGGTTCTGATTTTATATACTTTTTTCAATTCCCTATTTGGAATATCATAATTCCAGCCCGCTAATTAAATAACAGTAAATGGTATCTCTTAAAAAAACAAATTAAATCTGATTTACGACTGCAGTTCCGAAACTCATAGACGCGCTCATGACACGTGGGAGCGGAAGCATTTCTACCAACTGCTGGAAACCTGATCTGCATCTTCAAGGGTGCGAGCCAAAGCTGAATTACCCACCATGAAGACGAAATTGGAAAGATCGACACCAGAAGACGTGCAATTTGAGAAGAGGTGCGGCCAAGGAACTACTAGAATTCACCACGCCTCCATACCCACGCCTTGGGTTCACAGAAAGTGAGGCATTACGTTTTTCCAATATTTCGTAATGTGAGGAGGTCTTTCATTGCGCCAGTGCCCGCTGTAAGTGCACAGCTCTCAGGACAGACAATTTGTAATGGTTCGCTCTGCGTTGAGGTCGCCCCAACATTTCTTTCCAAACAGTCACAAAGGGGAGATAATCCCGCCTCTCGCGCACGCCGCTCTGCCAAGGACGCGGAACTTTCGAAGAGAGAGTTAATATATTCCTAAATGAAATAATTTGCATTTTAGGGACTAATTGTGGGAATAGCTTTGAAGTAATTTTCCATATTATTCATTCAATTTCATGCCAAATCTTTTATAAATAATTAAAATTTTTAAAGAAAAAACTGTGTACGTGATCAGTGCAAATTCAAATTTATGAACATCAGTGCACGTAAATTTTGCTTATGTATAATTTTCTATTATGTTGAGCATCATAAAGATAAAAGTTTAGCAGATCCGGTTGCCGACATTGCTTAGGCAGTAGTGCAGTAGGGATCTCGTACCGAAGGACGCAGGTTCGAATTCCGCATCGGGCATGGTTTATTGTGTTCGTCCTTTCACCCCTTATGATCATCATATCGTGTCATTCTCACAGTTACCATACCGTTACAAGCAATAGTAGCCGCTAATGTCCTAGAAGTTGATGTGGCCTTAAGTAACAAAAAAACGTAAAAGCTTATTAGCTATTTCAATAGTAATTTAAATTGTCAAACAACGGTGTATTTTACTACATGAGTAAAGAATGAATTTTACGAGGAAGAAATTTTGAATATCTCACAAGTCAAATTTTGTAACAATTCAGATAGCATTGTTAGGAAGAATCCTTAGAGACAGTGTATATTGCAAAGTGTGTATGAGAATGTGTATTTCTTGAAAGGGTTTCACATATCTTTTATGTTGTGTATCAGTGTTCTCATATTTTTGCAGTGCTCATTTTGTGCGTGTTTCTGTTTTTTGAATTTCTGTTGTTTTGTTGTCTTTTTTCAAAAGTGTATCCAAGTGAATTAAATCATGTTGAGACTATTAATATTTCAATCGTGCTTAGGTGTTTTTCTTTTGCCTTTCTCATATATCATTATCATATTCTTGAGATACTCCTTTTTAAGATTTTCCATTTTTTTGTCTGTGATCAAATTTGGGCAACACATCATTGTGGGAATGCTACACCCTCACTTGTAGTAAACCACTGCAAGTTGTGTGAAGCCCCAACAGCATACGGTGGATGTGGACCTCACAGGAGCAGGGGGGAGGGTGCAGGGGGGAGGGTGCAAAGAGCTTGCACTGAGGAAAGTGTGCGTGGGTACACATGCACCGCGGGATATCGCAATGTGGCGAACGGAAGAGTGGACAACCGCAAACAAGGCCAAGAAAGGAAAAACTGCTAAGTACTAATCAAGCTGTAATCAAGTAGTAACCAAGATGTCGGCATATTTGAGTAATCCAGGTCCAATCGTTTAGCATGAAACACATTTAATTATTTTCTGCCTTTTTTCGTACCGAAACTACTCATTAAAAGTATTTAATTGCATACTTTTATTTGCACAAAATTGTTATTTTGGAATTTAAAATTAATTCATTTCTTCGGAACTGGTTGCGCAACTACCATTCATGCGTTTGTTTCACACATTGTGTATGAAAAATTACATACAAATGTAAAATTATCTCAATTTAGGAATTAAAATATTTTTATTAAATAAATTTTTAAAATCAGAAATTATCATTTTTTAAATTATATTTTTTAAATTGAACTTAATATATCCGCCAGCGTGTTACTTAATAATTATTTAAAAATAAAAATCCGTAAATTCCTCTTTAATTGTCTACCAAAAGTGAATTGAATTTTCATGTAAATATGTATTTTTACAGTAGCAAGATACCTGCATTCAAAAACGTTTTAAAGTTTAAATGACTTTGTAAATAAATTAGAAACTTTTTTATTTTAAATATTTTTTACATTTTCTACAATTAAAATGTTTACATATTTTACATATTACTACATATTTCGTACATTTTACGTTACATTTTATTATATTTATACGTCGAAACGTATTTTATATACGAGTTTTCCGATATACTTGTTTGTTACTGGAATCATTTTTCTTGCAGACACGTAATAGTATTGCGCTTCTATGGCCACCGGAGTATGTTTTGTCACACAACTTCCCTCCCCGCTTCTTGAAAACCGCGAACTGTGAATCAAATCAAAAAAGCAATTGTTTCCGAAGCAAAAGCAATTTCGTCCACGTGCTTGCTCGTTACACGAGAGACCACGCGTACCTAGATCGAAATCTGACAATTTTTTTCAGGTCATTGTCTTATCGTGTTGTTGTATGTGGGGGTGTATGTTCCCCGAACCCCACTCACCCCCTCGCAGACTACTCTGTTGGACTGTACAATTGCGCTTCCTAAACAATATTATACATACTATGTACGTATTTTTTGTTTCGAATAAAACGCGTGTTATGTGCTAAAGGCTAGTGTTCAATTACTTCTGTAAATGTAGAAATATTTGTCATTCATTTTCAGACTTATCGAAGACATTTTCAGCTCATACATTATAAAATACTTGTTGGGATAAACTGTATAATGAATTTTTTTGTAAATAATCCTTATTTCTTCTTAGATATTAAAAAAGAAATACATAAATGTACATATTTTGCACTTTATTACGTACCCTAATTACAACCTTTTTTGGCTAGAGACCTTTGTTTTGGGAAATCTCTTAACGGGGTAACACGTGACCTTCATGGCATCGTGCCCCTAATTGGTAGGCAACTCATCCTGCACTGATGACCGGTGAGTTGCCTTCGCCCCTTGCAACCTTCCGCACCGGCACTTTCGTCTTCTCCCCTATGGATAAGATTGTGATTGCGTCAAGAGACCTCACACACGAGGTGAGTTTATTTTTTAGTTTTTATTTTCTCTTGTTGCCTTAGGACCATACCTTTTCTACCAGTCACGTTGTGCTTTCCGTCGCTGCTCTGAAATGCGAGACACGTCTGTGTTTGCGCATACAGTCGTGCGCGCGGGGACAGCGGGCCGTCCAGAACCCAGAGGTGATGTCCCCTGATAAATGGAGCCGCCCACCAGCACGACGGCAATTGCAAGCAGAATGCAAGTTAGGTGCAGGCGTACTATTAATAACCCGGAGATCTCTCATTATGTCTATGTCGGTGACATAGCTGCAACTTCAAATTCTGGCATTTCAAACTACAGCAACAGTCACGTGTAGTACTACGAGAATGCTCACTGAAATTTTATCAGTATACATGATGTAAATTTCTAAGTTAACATGTGGTCAAGGATCATCGAGGATTAATTGACTGAGGCGAACATTTTGCCACCCAACCTGAATGCTCTCGTGCACCTCATATTTCCGTAGGTGACGCTCCACACTCTCCTGAAGGAGGTCACTTGTGGGGCGTCACCTTTGGTTGCGTCGAGGCCCGGGCACACCTGTGCGCCATCATAGCCTATAAACCTATACGGTGGTCGCGTCCACGGCACAAGCGGTCCCACTGCTTGCTTCCGACGTCACCAGATTTGGCATTCCAGTACTTTGTGTTGGTATCGCACGGAAGCCGGCGCATTTTATACGTAAGGGACGTCGGAAGAAGTTGTGGTAGTCAGAATTTCAACTGCAGCGTGGGGCATCCAGTCTACACGGTCTTGTCAGGTTTTGTCAAAGTGAGACGTCAAAACTTGCACCAGTTACCGCGCAGCATTGATCTTCACGGCCAGCACTTCGAGCAATGTTTGTTTTCAATGCTGAATAATGCATATTTACATTGTTATTTGCAGTGCGCAGGTCGTTTCCCGGAGGGTTCGTCTGAGAAGCGCATCTGAAGAATGATTAGCCAAGCAAACAGGGGCACAATGTCATAAATGTCGGTAGGGCAGAGGAGGATAGGACAAGGCAGGAGGTGTGGGGCGGGGCGGGCTGGGAGAGGAGGTAGGGTGGAGCAAGGCATGGTGAAAAGGGCGAAGCGCAGCAAGAGAAGGCTGGGCACGACTAAGCCAAAAACACTGAACCAAACAACGTGAAAGTTGCGTTCTCATTAATATTTTACCACAAGTGTGACTTGCCATGATGTTGCGAGACGAGGAAAATAGAAATGCTCGTTATATTTCTCCTTTCATATTAATTTCGTAGTTTAAAGAATTGAAACCTCTATCTACCTCGACCTCTCGGCGTATTTTATAATTGTATAACACTCAGATATTCAAAAGTTCATGCAAACAGATTTCAAAATCTGCGTATTTTTCAGCAATGGGAAACAAAAATATTTTCACTATTTCCGCCAGTGGTATTTACTCGTTCTACACGTTACAAATTGTGTAGCAAAATATTCTATTTATTCGAGTCAATGCGCGAGTACATTCTCCAGTTGCCTTGGAAATGGCAAATATGTTGGGGAGCAGATTCACGAGATTCGGCGTAGCGAGATTTCCAACCATCTCTGTCGCTTTGCTTCTCTCCCTTCACGACCTCCCGACATCGAAAAGAATGTTCGTCTCGAATTCCATGTGCCTCCACATTCATTGTGTTCGTTCTGTGCTGAGTTGAAAATAAATTTTTTGGGAAAATAACGTCGTAGTCTAATGAATAATGAGAGTTTAAATTGTATTTGTTGAAATGGTTCCGTGGTTCACATCACCAAGGAAAATCACTTCTTATGTGAACTCAGGCAAATTCCAGTCCTGTGAAGGGCAGTGTGCTTGTATATTATTAGTAAGTCGTCGTTTTAAATTATATTTTAGATGCACATTATATTACCTAGTGGTGTTACAACGGAACCTACGTTCTCGTCTTCTTGTAAACAGCTACGTAATATTGAAATATTGAATTTTCTGAGCTACTAATTCAGCTATCACTTGAAAACGTCCAATTCAACCAAGAATCAAGCAACGCACTGTTGCTGCCACAGCGTTGCCAAAACTATGTTAGTGGTTCTAAAAAAGAACGTACTTTCTTGCCATTAGTAATGGTTATGTACTAATATTTATCACCAACTCTAATATTATAATAATACTAATATTTAACACACCTCAGTCATCATTTTTTGTGAAACTGAAAAAATTTGTTGTCGTAGAACATTTGATGCGAAAATTAAAAAGTTTCAAGCAAACTATGTTTTATTCAAACGTTTAAATTAAAATATATTTCAAGCATTCAATTCGTTTTAAAAGGTATAGCTTAATCACAAACATATCCGAAGAGTGTTTAGCCTTATTCTTTCCAAGCAGTATGCGAGAAAGTAAAATAATTAATAGTTTAATGATACTGATAGCGTTTGCAAACAAATGTAAATAGATCAAAAATATATAATAGTAACTATTAAACATAATAGTATTGTAATATTTTCCAAAAATGCTCGTTTTAACACGAATTACACGTCACTCCTCGTCTAAAAATGCAATGCTAAATTCTCTATGTGTTTTCTCACATTAGAAAATTTCCTCAATTTGTCTTTACTAATGCCACTACAATATAACTATGACCCGCGCAACTTTTCTTGAACGATGGATTGAAGAAATGCGGGTAGAGTAGGGGGTTTAGTTACGAAATCGGCCTCTAGATTTTATGAAGCGTAATTTGCGTTCTAATTTTTTCAGGAATTCGAGGTATTTCCTGTGATGAATCTTCACCTGCTGCCTTCTCCTCTTCAACTGAAAATTGTTTCTATTTCTCGCCAGTGAAGATGTGTTTGTAATTTTGTCGTCAGTGCACGCTGCGAGCTTTTGTCTTGAACTGTTTATTGTGTCAAAGAGGGGGAAGCAAGGTCATCGTTCAAGAAAAGTTGCGCGAGTAATACTGTATTCGAAATTTAACTTGTAAATTGATTAGAGTGGGTAGGGATACTAGAATTTACGAAATCTTTCACAGAATACATTTCTCTTCATAATACGTCACATTCATTTTTTTCTGTTTTGACGTTGAAAAAAAAGATATAAATAATTAAAACAAAGCCTCATAACGGTTGAATGACAATGTTCTACAAAGATGATAATTCAACGGAATTTCATTTTTCATTATTTTATATTGCTGTTGTTCAACAAATAACTTCTGAAATATACATTGCTGCATTGTTCCCAAAGGTAGTGCATGTAGTAATATAAAATTAAAATTGTCGTAAAAATTAATGGTACAAAATTTTAAAATTTTTCTTTCACGTAAAATATTATAAAAATGCTAATATAATCCAAACCCCACAACTCAAAGGAACCGCTTCTCGTGGATAACCAGGTTTAATTCAATAACCAGGAACAGTACTCATTTCTAATTTTCAGAACTGAAACATACCATAATCCGCGATCAAAATTTCACAAACTAAAGTAATTTGATAGTGCGAAGGTAAATTTATTATCATCCATCAATCTAGTTTATTTTTTAAGAATACAAATAGTTTTCAAACACTTCTCAAAGTATGTTCACAGATAGCAGTTAATTTGGAGCGTGTGACTTTGTAGTCACATTACACAAAAAATACTCATATTTTCAAAAAATAAAACATAACCTTATTCGAAGATCTGTTTTTTATAAACACATGTCATTAAGAAAAATATCTTCTTAATTGTAGTTGTATTTTTGAATGTTTTTAAAATTTTCATAAAATCAAGCATTTCAACGAACATGAGACTGGCAACTTTCTCTTAGGCTCCATTTATGCTACGTTTATGCTAAATATAATCAAAAAATGGTTGGCGGTTTCTAAGAAAAAATTGTTTGAAGAAATTAAAAATTGTCTATGTCACAAAATTTGATAAACATTTCATTAAGAAACTAGTAGTGCAATAAAATGGCACAGACTTTTACGAATTAGTTTCCTATTTCCCTCGTTCTCGGCTAGCTATTCGGACTTGCCACATACTCTTGCCAGCTGATATCTATCCCCCCTCCCAAAGTATCTTTTTCTTAAAATTTTATAATTTTTCGGTTTCCTTATAGTAGAACGGAAATATTATTTTAAGATTATTAACAAACAGTAAAACCTCATACTAAATGGCAATTTTCTTCGAAAAATTTGGAGACGTTTCTAAGAAAATGGCGCTTAAGCGCTACTGCAAATTCAAAATTTGAAGCTCATTTACACAAAAAATGTTTGATTTTTCCAAGAACTTCATATGAAGAAACTTTTACTCACAAATACAATGGTATTTACAAATTGCTGGAAATGTGCGTATTCACAGCGTTAGGTAATCTGCAAAACAATTAATTTAGTGTAATTTTTGATAAAAAATACTTCGAAATTAACTTTACGTCATATTAAAGAGTGGCATTAGCACTATTCGTTCTATAAGTTTGAAAGAAAAAATTGAAGCCGTTTTTTAGAAAATAGCGTTTGAATGTTTCTGAAAATACGGAATTTTGTGCTAGTTTTCACAGAAAAGGTTCAGTTTTCGAGAAACTTTTTATACATGCACTACGTATGCATATGTACCCATCAATATGATAATGTGAACAATTCGGTACCAATACAAATATTAATGTGACAGAAACTTAAAAAACTTAAATTTTTGAATTTTTTGAAAAAACAAAGAATAGAGCAAACTGATGTTTAATGCCATCTCATAGCGTTATGTCATTTAGCATTATCCCTACCAAAAGTTTAAAGAAAAATTTTGACCCATTTTTGAGAAAATTTTAAAATACTCGAAGGACTTAATGTAAAGTACCCCTAAATTTTAAAGAATGTTTTTCAAAATCTCAATGATATACTCCCGTTCGAAAATACACAACACCCAAAGGTCTTATGTTACCTCCATTTTGGACAGGAACTGGTAATTGCGATAATAATTGTATTATTAAATTGCTATATCAATTTCAAAATTGTAATCGCCTAAAAAAATACTTGTTGGTATGAGTGATGCGATAATTCAGAATTTGGTACGTTTTGTACGCTTTTTGCTATTATTCACAAAAATGCACCTAAAAGATCACCTTAAGTTGCAATTCTGCGTTATTCTCTAATCCTGATAGATCATTCACAATTAGTACCGAAAATTCTGTCGCACATTCTTCTACTACATTTGATTTTCCTAAATATTTCTTATT